AAAGTAATGAAACATGCTATAAACAACATACAACTTGTTTTGGGAGAAGTAAATTATGAAGAAGAAAAAATGGTAGAAAAATCTTGAAAAATAATAAGACAAAGAATTTGCTTCTTGTGTATTCACCTCATAATTAGACACTTCATTTCTCATGGACTGGCAGGTTATATGATGTGGGCATGAGGTAAACATTATGTGCAGGTTTTTCTGTTTAAGACACTGGACAGATGGTCAGATGCCCTGGATCATTAGACCAAAGTCTGAGTAAAGGTTTTAAAGGCCCACAGAAGGAGCACTGGTGAAATGTGTGAATGTGGGAATTATCACTCATATTGTAGAATGAGATACGACAATATTCATAGTCTAGGAAAATTCCCACTTTGGTAGGGTGCTTTTTAAGAGTAAGCATCGTTTCTGGAGAAGTGAGTGCCCAGTATTCATTCTTATAAAATCTGATGGCCCAGAAACCATCCTCAGGTTTTATGACAATCCTCCCCTTCCTCATTACATTATCTCTACAAATGCCCAGGTCCCAAAACCCACTGTCCCCAACCTCCACCTCCCAGTAGCGTGTCCCTGAGTTGATGGGCTGCTGACCCAGCACACAAGGAAGGGCAGAAAATCTCTGTTCATTCTCAGGTAGCTCTTGAGGCTTCTCATTCCAGGTTACACATCTTCCATCTTCAGACAAGATGAGGTTACGGTGGGCTGTGTCTGGATCCAGAACCACATTTTCTGTGAAGATAATTATACCTTTAATCCCTTAAGAGGATAAAGTGACTCTGGTCAGAGTTATCTATATTTTCTAGAGATATCTTGGGCCTCTGGGAGATGTTTATGTCCTGATGTTAAGTGTTTCATCCCTGCTGTAGTCTATAATACTTCCCAAGATGTCCATATTCTAATCTCCAAGACCTGTGTTTACGTAAAATTACATGGCCAAAGGAACTCTACATATGTGAATTAAATAAGGAAATTGAAATGAAAAGATATATCTTGGATTTTCTAGATGGTTCCAACATAATCATAAGGGTGCTTTTAAGGGGAGGACAGGAGAATCAACGTCAAAAACAGATGTGATTGGGGGTAGAGATTGAAGTTATGTTCACTGAAGATGGAGGGCATTTCTAGTAGCTTGTAAAGGCAAGAAAACATTGTCCCTGAACCCTCCAAAAGAAATTCATCCCTGTAACACCTTGCTTTTTGATTTTTTTACCTCCAGAATTGTTAGATGATAAATATCTCTACAGGGTCACTATGAATCAACTCAAAGACACTTAACAACAACATCTCTATGTTAGAGTTCTCACCTCCAGAATTGTTAGATAATAAATTTCTGTAGTTTAGCACCGGAGTGCAAGGTCAGTTTGAACCACAAGCTTGGTGGTTCAAACTTACCAGCGGCCTTGGAACCCCTATACAGAGTTGCTATGAGTTGGAACTAACTTGACAGCACTCAACAACAACAACAACTGTATAATAATTTGGTCCAGTATAAATAGGAAGCTAATGCATCTGCACTATCACAATTGTCCCTGCAGCTGAGCCTTAGTTAAGGAGTAGAGTTCTTCCTCAGCCATCAGGAAATGACTCACCAGCCTGGAAATACTTTTTCTTCCAGTCTGGAAAAAAAAAAAAAAAAAAGAATTCAGTAAGTATTTGGATTTCTTGGCAGAAACAGTGATTTATTCTTTTGAATACTTATTTTTGCTAATGTTCCAAATCTTTTCTATACTTTGTACTTGACCTAAAATTTCCAGTGACTTTCTTATGAAACATATTATTTACTCTTAATTTTACTAGCTACTAGTGGAACAGAGGGGGTGGGAGGGTTAATGCGCTGGACTGCAAGATCAGTTTGAACCACAAAGTCGGCAGCTCAAGCCCACCAGTGATTCCTCGGGAACCCTATACAGGGTCTCTGTTAGTCAGAACTGACTGGACTGCATTCAACAACAACAACAACAGTGATCACAAACATCTCAACAAGATTTATCTATTCTCTTTTTAAACAGTCAGGAATAAATTGCATTTAGCTGAGATTAGAAGACTAAATTGTGGTAAATAAAAATCCTAGACTGGTTACTGTTTCAGCAATACCCCCACTGGGTGTTGCCAGAAATTCAAGCCTGATTCAGAACAGGACTTGGAACAAGGAATATCATTGCTGATGTCAAATGGATCATGGATGATACAGAATCCTAGAGAGATTCTTCTTTGTGTTTTGTTGACAATGCAGAGACACTTATTTGAACAGAACAAGTGGATACTGCATGATTTGAAATCCGGAAAGATGTGTTTCAGGGTTGTATACTTTCATCAGACTAGTCAATTTGTATTCTGGGAACATAATTCAAGAAGCTAGACTGTAAATACAGCATCAATTGTAAGAGTGACACAAGACTTGACAGTGTTTTGTTGTTGGGTGCTATGAGTTGGAACCAACTTGATGGCCTTTAATTACATAGTAGTATAAGTGTGGTTCTCACCAAATGGGGTACATAAGTACCAAATTGACTATATCTGTGGAAATGCAATTTCATCAGCCAAAATAAGGTCAGTGTCCAACCATTGAACAGGCCATCAATTAATTACTCACATGCACATTCACATTGAAGCTGAAAAAAATAAAAACAAATCCACAGGATTCAAAATATGGTCTTGAATATATCCTATCTAAATTTAGAGATCATCTCAAGAATAGATTTGGTGTTTTGAACACCAAATACCAGAGAAGTTGTGGGGTGACAATAAGGACATCATATGTGAGGTATACACATCATGGAATGGCCAACCATTCAAGATAAAAGGGGCAGCATTTATGTAAGGGGGTAAAAAAGGAAAGGTTGTAAAAGAAGGCTGAATGGAAACAAGAATCACAGGGAGGTAGTGGGATAACTTATGTTAAATGGAGGGGATGGCAGTAATTTAAAGGAAACGAACATATGATGCGCTGATTGTAAAACAGCAAACTTTCACTCAACAAAAAGTAAAAAAAAAAAAAAAAAAGAAGAAGAAGATCAATTGAAAAACAAAAAAAGAAGGCTCTAATGGAATCTACAAGAGACCCTGAAACTTGCTCTTAAATGTAGATAATTTAAATTAACAATAGAAATTATGAAGCAAAAGAGGTCAACCAAAAATTTCAAAGGGTAAATTGAGAAGATAAGGTATAGTATTATGAAAAGATCTGGAGTCTGAAAAACAAAATGAAACAACATGCCAGCTTAAAGAACTGAAGAAAACATTCAAGCTTTGACTGGAAGTAATGAAGGATTTTATGGACAAAATTTTGAACTTTGCAGGAAGCATCATTAAATAAACAGAATAAATGCATAGTGTTAATGTACCAAAAACTATTGGTTGATATTCTAACATTTCAAGAGATTATATATTGTCAAGAACTGATGGCACTGAAGGAAGAAGTTCAAACTGCACTGAAGACACTGGTGAAAATAAGGGCCCAGGATTTGGCAGAATAGAAATTTAAATGCTTCACCAAATTGATGCAGCACTGGAGGTGCTCAACTGTCTATACCAATAAATTTGAAGATAGCTGCTTGACCACCAATTGGAAGAGATTCATATTTGTGCACATTGTAAAGAAAGGTGACCCAACAGAATGCAGAAATTATCGAACAAAATCATTAATGTCACATGCAAGCAAAATTTTGCTAAAGATAAACTTTAAATGGCTGCAACAGTACATTGACTGAGCTGCCAGAAATTTAAGCCAGATTTAGAAGAGGGTGTGAAAGGAGGAATATCATTGCTTATGTCAGGTGGTTCTTGTCTGAAAATAGAGAATACCAGAAATGTATTTACCTATATTTTATTAGCTATATAAAGGTATTGGACTATGTAGATCATAACAAATCACCGATAACATAGCAAAGAATGGGAATTGGGAATTCCAGAACACTTCACTGTGCTCCTGAGGAACATGACTAAGAGGTAGTCATTGAAGCAGAACAAGGGAATACTGAATGATTTAAAATCAAGGAAGGTCTGCATCCGGATTGTATCCTTTCACCATACTTATTTAGTCTGCACTTTGAGCAAATGATCTGAGAAACTGGGCTATATGAAAAGAACATGGCATCAGGATTGCAGAAAGGCTCATTAGCAATCTGCAATATTAAGATGATACAACCATGTTGCTAGAACAAAAGAGGATCTTAAATACCTACTAATGATGATCAAAGAATGCAAGTTTCATTACGGATTATATCTTTTTTTTAAAAATTATTGTAATCAATGTAATTCATTAAACAATGTAATTATAACATTGTTTCACTCCAATGATTATAATTCCCTCCATGTACCACAAGTTAACAGTATTTCTCTCTATTCAACTTTAGCTCTTTAAAAAAAGTTTTTTAACACTCAAGCATATATAATAATTTAAACCACCAAAGGGCACATTCTGCAAGATCTGGCCACCAGATCTCAGTCCCTCTCTTCCCATGACTCTAGAGTCCTCAGCTGCTCCCTCTCTCCATGTCCCCATCTCTTCCTCCATCTCTGGTGTCGCCGCTTCTCTGGATAAGGTCTTGTGTTCCGCTTGCATGGAACCTATTTTTTGAATTTCATGCTGGTAAGAAGAACTCTTGTCAGTAGGGATGATAAATGTGCTTTCCTCAAATGTCTCTCATTGAAAGGGGTTCTTAGCAGCTCTTTTGACACCCTTGTTGGCTGGATGAGAAGAGACAGGCATCAGATAATTCAAAGCCTTGGATAATGGGGAGAATTACAAAGACACTGGGAGGCGGAACTTCCTAATGGGCAGAGAGATCTTGGCAAGAAATGGAATTTTTCTGGGCCTCAGTTACCTCATTTAAAACATGTTTATAGATGCTTTAGATCTGATGCTTCAAATTCAACAAGGTTACCTTTTTTCACATTGTAATTGTTTTGATCATAGACTGAACTCCCAGATCCTCTGTTCTTATAATTTTATTCTGTTCTTGACTCTT